TATATATATATAAACTTGCTGAAAAGTGACATTAATGTCCTGAAACCAATTATTAATAATACTTCATTATTAAAATTCAACAAGTTATTTATATTTTTGTTATATTATACACTTCACTGGAGTGACCTCAGTTATATGTATCTGTGTGTCTTCACGTCATACTAAATGTCCAAAGACTCTACAGTTATTCATATACAAAAAAGGAATGATTACTCCATACATTTATTTTAAATCATGGGAACATACAATATTATATCCACTGAATCAATAATAGCTCTTTGCATAGAGTTTCTGGTATATTTAGAATGATATTTATTTACCCTCAACATCAATTTCTAAATTCTTGTTATACATAAATAAAGAAATAAATATTTTAAAAACTAATAACAAAAGCACCAAAATACATTTACGACAACACAGAAAAAATATGATTACCTTATACAGTTTCTCACCTTAATTACTTCAATATTGGAGGCTATTCTGTTTCCTATGTAAAGGTTTCGTCCAATCCAGTCATACACTATGGTGTATGGTGCTCCAACAATTCCATCAGGTAAAAACTTGGTCCAGTTTCCACCTTTCAGACTCACTTTATAAACAGTTCCCTGTATAAAAAATCCATGATCTTTCTCATGCTTCAGTACAGAAAACCACAATTATAATCCTGACATTAATCTATGTTTCTGACCCTTCGAGGAAATTCAAAAAAGTATCTATACTATTATTCTGCTTGTTTGTATGTATGACTATTACGCTTTCTGACCGAGAACCTGCTGCATAAGCATGCGTAGTTAGAATGTTTCTCCAAGAAAGACCGCACATGCGCATTATTCACTCGACGACAACAGTCTGCCTGTGGCAAAGTACAGTGATCAAGTCACTACAATTGCTGTATGAAACAAGAAGTAACAACAAGAGGGGAATGTAAATATAATTTACTAACCATTTTGTACAACAGAATATTAAAAACTTATCAAAGTTTTTAAAAAAGGTTTAACGTTAGGTCGTAGAATAACATTATAAGTTTATTTATTGATAGTATTAAGTACAGTAAAGTTTAGTCCTAACTGAAGTAAAAAAAAAAAACGTACACAGGTTACAGTGTCAATTTATCTCTTTATCGAATTTAGGCCTAACATAAGTTAAAGTTTTATAAAGTACGGCCTATATACAAGTGGATTTACACATTTCTTTGTTTATGATTACAATTTGTTTGTATTGTGCTAGAAATGTTATATTTAAATATATTTCACTGACTTTGTGAAACAATATAGTCTTCGGTAATCATACAAATAGTAGTGTTACATACCTCCCTCACATCAATGCAAAACTACTGTTTGTAATGCTTTATACTGAAAGTATTTTTGATATGAGTTTGCATAACACTTTTGTTCTGCATATGTTGACTTATTCCAACATTCAAAATTAAAGTCAGACATACATAGTGGTATTTCTTACCTAAACTGGCACATTATAGTCTAATATTTAATCATACAAAATGCTTTGCTTGCTTAGGGAGTAAGTAAATCTTATACAATAACAACTAGATTGTTTCATGTTGTGTTAACACTTATTCATATATTAATTAATTTTCCCATAATAAGGATTCACTCATCACTGTAGTAATTATTAATAAGTTTAGTCTGGCATTAAATTACATACAATTACAACTACCTAGCTATGTTAAACTAGGTTTAGATTAAGCCTACAAATAGGGTTGAAGAATAAAACAGTTTAGTGAAACTGAAAGCAACAACTCTAACTGTGTGCTATCATCATTGTGTATTTTCAGCTCTTAACTAAATACAACTTCATGTGGTTTATCCTATACTGCAAATTTGATTAGGCATAATCATTACAGCAAGTCTTATGGCAAAATTCTCATTCTACAAGTATTTAGAAATGAAGTAGAAAAATTTCTACTTAAGAAAATGTTTCTATCAATACAAGTTATAAGTAACATTAACTGTAACTGTAGTGTGAGGATTATTCAAATAAAGTTCTTAAAAGGGGCATATACTTTGTAGTATTTTATTTGCATAGTTTCCTTTACAAGGTTACTTTTTATACTTATTACTAGAAAAATAGTGGTTACTTTTTCCTTGTCGTCCTCTTCTAGCTGAACCCAGTAGATCGTTCCATTTTTCCTGTCTAAGTCAAAATCATAGCCATTTTCTACACCAATAACAGGTGTAAAATGCCCCATGGACTTGTCATTTGGTGTCAGACTCCTGTCAATGATCTGAGTCTTCTTCATTACCATCAAATAAGGTGTGTTAACTGTGTGTGGTACATGTTATAAATAAATATGATATGGTTTTCTAATGTTTAAAATATACCATCCATCCATTCATTAAATTTTTTGTTGTACATGAAATAATTGCACATTTTTTAAAATGTATTTCTAACTAAATATACATATACAAGAAGCTGTTAAACCATCAGTTTTGTATCTAAATTCTAAGTGACCCAGAAAATATGATAATTTCATTAAAATCTATATTAGTTCTAGTTGATATTATTTTCAGAAGAAAAAATACTAATTTTAAAGTTTTAGAAGAAAAACATAATCACAGGTTCTCTAAATCTGAATGATTTCTACAAAATAAAAAATATAGTACATCAATTTAACTGTTATGTATTATTAGTTCTATTACAGTGTTATGGATTTAGTTGTACCAAGAAATCTTACTTGGTGTACAGGTCCCAACCATGACTCGATCCTCCTCATAGCCAGGAGGACAGTGACAAGAGTAGCCACCAGAGGTAGTTGGGGAAAGAAGACAAAGATGACTACAAGGAGAAAGTTTGCAGGGGTTGGTAGCTGAGAGAAGAATCAATCAAAGATTATTGACTGAATGGCAACTGATATAAATATATGTTACACTTCATTCCTGTGAAAACACTCACTACAGATTTTCAGTTAATGAATGCCTAACAGATTTTAATATTTACCTTAATGATTCATACACAAATCATGGTTTTAAATTTCTGTCATTACAACAGTGTTTTAAATGCATAACGTCTAAGCAACTACCAAGAAACAATAAAGTATAAAGAAGACATCTACATGTGTCAGTTTTGTAAAGGATTACTTGTGAAGATGGACAAGTTTTGCCTCTATACTGAGTCTCTCATCAGGTAAGCATGATTTTATGTATTGCACTATGCTTATACAATCAGTTACAAGATATTTATATTATCTGTTTGAGTATGTACAGTGCAGTCTTGTGAGAGAGCTAGTAACTGTTGTCTGTTGTTGTGACACCAGTTTAGTAGAATCACTGTGTATTGAGTCTTGGTTCTTGCTTTATCTATAAGTTTGTATTACACATACAAAATGGACAAGAGCAATTAACTAAAGTGCAAACCATAGTATTGGTTATGGGCTGAGTAATGATTTTTTGTACAAAAAGTGTTTTTTTTGTTCTCTGGTGTTGAATTGTGTTGTGGTTTTGTCACTGGTTTCAAGCGATGGTATGGCCAGTTTTATGGTTGTGTTCAGCCATGGTATATTTTTATGGATCTAGCAGACTCGTGGCATCTTATGTTATTTCCTTCCTGGATCTTTATTTCTGCTAGCTTCTCCAATAAAGAAGTCTACACAGGAATGGGAAACTTGTAGATTACATTCTCTCTTGAAATGTTGCCATTTTAATTTAGTTGTAACAGCTTTGATGTCAGTTGGGTTGTCATCTCAATTAAGAGCTGTTTAATGATACTAAAACAGTAAAAATTTTGTTTTTATAGCTTTAAACATAACATAACAATAAAAGACAGCAAAGGATCTTTTGGTCCAACTAGTCTGTCCTATTCACTAAATTAAACAAACCCTTAACTCTTTCAGCACAGGCTTGGTCTCTGGAACTGACCTTGTAACCATTTTGTACTTGTTATAGTTTTCATGCTATGACTTTTAAATTAGTAAGTGTATGTTCACGAAATTTGGCAGATTATCAGTGAACATTACAAGGCTTTCATATGTAAAATATCAGATTTTTTCATTCAGTCTTAAGGTTTGTTAAGCAATACTTTTCTTAAGCCTTTTTTTCTTTTTGCGCGATGCCTATCCAACATGCAAAATAATTTTCATTTTAAAGACTAAAAATACTTTTATGCATCACAAAAATTTAAAATTTCACATGTGAAATCTATATAATGTCCAGATAGTTATCAAACATTTCTTAAGAAAATACTTTATATTTTATCTGTTATTTTCACTAAAAAAGTCTCTGTACGGGTTTGGTCAATTTAACTGATCTCGTAACCATCATAAAAAATTAGGAAATAAATTTAAATTGTGGCTTTTTCGTTCTAGAATGACTATAAATTATAACAAGAAAACACAAAGGTTTAGACTAAATAGCTTAAATATATATATTTTTATTATATTGACCTTTCAGCCATGCCTAGCTAAGAGTACAGAAGTTACAACGACATGACGCACGTGTACTCATGTTACCATATCCAATAATATAAAACTGACCTTTAGTCTTTATAAAGTGACCTGCCTTGGCTGTGTTTTAGTGGACTAGTATTTTGTAAAATCCACTCACATTTCAATTGTTATACATTATATACGTATATACATTATTACTATTTACAAACAAGTTTTTAAGCTTATTTTTTTTAAAACATAGAACAGTAAATAAAGAAGTAAAGCAATCTCTTCTAGTTACGACCTTTGTACTCATTTTGCTGCTTGTCACAGGTTGCTAAGCCTTATAAAATTTTGCACGTGGAAAATGTGAAATGAGATAATTTTTTTAGGTTTTATATGTACATTTGAGTAACCAAAAAATCATAAATTACTACATCAATACCACAGAATTCAAGCTTTGTAACTAAGCTGTATTTAGGTCTAAAAAAATACGAAATTTCGAGCAGACTAAAGACTAAACTTACCAGTTTGATGTTTTGTATAAAAAGACAAGATGATGTTGTAATATTTAAAATGGCTGAGAAAGCCAGTAGGGGGTATATTCTGAGCTTTTGATTGGTATTCATATGCCATAGACAACAGTAAGTGCATATAAGGAAGTGTTTCCAAAAATGGAAAGAGGTGAGCTGGACCACTGTGTTTCATTCAGTACACGAGCGATATCTCATCAAATAGAAAATACAGGAGGTTCTTATTTTATATTCTAGCTTGTCAATATCAGTAATTTGAGTTTCTAATTCGTACAAAACTATAGGCTTTATATTTTGACATCAAAAACATCTAATTTGAACAGTGCTGCATTCAGCATACCACGTAACACATAAAAACGGATGTTGGTGTTTTGTTTTCAATATTGATTTTTAAATTAAGAGATTAAATAATATATAATACTAACATCTGAATTATAATCTACAATTTGATACCAAACTAATTAACATAAATTCATAAAATAGTACTTCAATAAAATTTTGAATGCGAGTCAACAAATGTGATGACACGCCTTTGACCCATGACCCGTGTGGAGAGGGATAAAAAAAAACTCAAATTCAGCCCTTATCATTCAGTTATTTACCAAGCTTTCTCTTAAACTCCATTAAATTAACTGCATCCACCACAACCAAAAGCAACTCATTCCAGGGGCCAACCACCCTGTTAGAAAAATAAAGCTTTCTTAGTTTTTTCCCCGCCAAAATTCATATTTCTCCCCTAGTCTTACCATTCTCACCATTAAATAGAAATAAAATGTAATGCTATCAATGCCCTTAACAATCTTAAATACCTCAATCAAATCCCCTTCTAACTCTTCTTTTTTCAAAAGAAAATAAATTCAGAGATCTTAACCTATTGTCATATGATAGATAACCTTTCCATCCAAAGTATGATCCTAGTAGCCCTTCTCTGAACTCTTTTCAAAAATTAAATGCCTATTCTGACGTAAGAGTACAACATTAAACACAATACTCCAAATCTCAACTAACCATTGAAATATACAATGAAATTATAACTTCCTTGGACTTTTATTCAATATTTCTGTAGGTACAACCTAAAATCCTATTTGCCTTGCCACTGACAATGGTAACTGCTTGAATGACTTAAAAGACTGATTAACAAGAATACCAAAATTTTTTCCTCCTTAACATTGTTAAGGTTATTCCCATCAAAATTATGCTCATAATTAAATTTCAAATTGTGATATCCCACTACCTTGGATTTTTTATAATTAAAAGCCATCTGCCATTTATTTCCCCAACTCACCAAATAATGCAAATCCTTTTGTAAGGCAGTAGCATCCTACTCACAGCCAGCAACATCCAAAATTTTAATGTCATCAGCAAATTTATATGATCTATTAAACATTCCTTCATCTTTCTCATTGATGTAAAACAAAAAGAGCAAAGATCTTAACACAGAGCCCTGAGGTACTCCACTCATAACATTAATCTAGTTTGACTAAACTTCATTTTCTATATTTTAATTTGATTTTTCATTTCAGGTTCTTTTGATATGGTTGTACACAAGCATTTGATGATTTCTCATTTGATGGAATGCGGGTAGTGATATTTAAAGTGCAGATATTCATTGTAGTGATATAGTTTGCTGTAGCCAGATGTAGGAAGATTGTAGTTATATGCTGACTGAGGAGAGTGTTTAGCATGGGTAAAAATCAATTTATCTGTTTTTATAATAAAGAGTACATTTTAGTTGGAAGAGTTGAGATGTCAGAGAAAACTGTCTAGGTTAACTTCTTGATGAGGCTAGATGACAAAGGTGTCATCAACTTATCATTTCTAGTTTCATGAGGATATACTGTACAACTACTGACTTTAAGTAGATATCACTAAGAGTTGGGGAAAATAGAAACCCATAGAAACATCAAATGTCTGTTTATCTAAATAGTAGAAACAGGTATTTCTGATGCAGATTAGATCAGTGCCACAGTGGGATCAATACTTATGACCGTGCGAAGTTTTAAAGAAGTGTGTTCTATCAAGTTTCTTTGTAACAATAGCAAAGCTAGGTCATCAAGTTGTATGATGATGAACAATTATTTTGTAAAAAGTCTTAGAATATTTTTATTAATAAACTTTCTACATTTTTCTTGAGAGGGATCAGTTTGTTTGCATAGTGATGTGCTGATATTTTACAATGTGTGTTTATTTAAAAAATTGTTATTAGTTTTTGGAAAGCATGTTCAATGTTTTTGCAAACTTAGTTTCTAAGTGAAGAATAAATAACTAAATGTTATATTAATATTTAAATCAGTAAAAGTATGTTTGTTGTTCTCAACAAAAAAAAAAATCTACATATTTTACACATAACCACATTAGATTTTAATTTTATAATATAAGAATAAACCACCATTTCTTACAAATTGTGATTTTTTTAATATCTCAAAGCACTCAGAAAATTTTTGAGATATGTTAATGTATTATTCTTCATTATCATGCACGGTACAACTAACACACTTTACAGTAGCTTGAACAAAAGAAGCAATGAAAATGGGAAGAGCTCATACTTACAAACTGGTTGTAACACTGGGTGACTGACGTGTATACCCAGAGGCTGACTCACCAGATGAGACACCACTGTTTGATTAACACCACGAAACTTGTTACATGAAAGCACACGGTGCAATTGCCGATCAGTCCAATAGAGTGTATCCTCAAACACAGTAAGGGAATGTGGATGAAGTAAATACTAAAAAAATCCATTAGCATATTTTTAAGTAGTACTTAAACATACACTGTATGGAGTTGGAGAATAATAAGATAAACTCTTAAATATATAACTGTAGTATAAATTAAAAAAAAACGCACAAGAAAAAGTGTGCTAAATATTAATGGAAAAAACATTATTACACACAAAAAAACATCAAACCACAGAACAACTTACACTACTTCTTGTTTATAAACTTAAGTAAGTTTGTAAAGCAAGGTTTCTACAACCCAAACATTTATTGATGTGTGATTTTATAATTTGAAGCACTGAGAGAATATACTTTTCTTTCAATGAGTAGGAAACTCTCTATCAGAAAACCACAAAATCTTTCCTTAATGATTTTACAAATTTGTGTATTTGCTTGTATACAGGCACTTACAATGAAACACGGTAAACTTGTGATAAATTATGCAAAGTATCTCCTGATTAATGATTTTACACATTATACACTGCAACCTGATCTACAAATAAATGTTTGAGTCAGTTATAAAAATCAAATTTCTGTAACAATACATACCAATGCATTAAATAATTTAGTTTTCCAAGTGTTTAAGTTTCACACCTAATACATTAAATATACTTAGTCACCTTTGAAGGTTATATAATATAGTAGTGATAAAACAACTGATAAATTAAAACTGTACTAGAGGATTTTAAGATATACGAATAGCAGCAATGATTAATAAGTTACCCAATAAGTAACAAGTTAATAATCTAGAATCTTATCTTCATAATACAGATGTGGCACAAAATGTACTTACATGATTATGAGCAATGACCTGTTGTCTTCCTGAGCCATCATAATTACAGAAGTCAATATAATCCAACTTACTGTCAGCAAAATACACCCGTTTGTTAGGGATGTCTAGGGTCAAACCGTTAGGCCAAAATATTTTAGTATCTATGACAACTTGTCTCATTGATCCATCTAATCCAACCCTTTCAATCCGAGGGTTCTCTCCCCAGTCTGACCAAAATAGAAGCCTAGCCCTAATCAAGAAAACATAAAAGAATTAAACTTTACACATTTCTATACTTTAAGGATTATTGGAAAACTAACCTTAAGATGCATTTACCTGAATTTTAACTTCATGCACTGAATTTTTCATACCTGACTAAAATAAAAATAATCTACAAGAACCTTATAAAACAAAAGCTTAAAAAATGTAGTCACTGATCATAGAGAAGATAAAATAATACATACTTATATCTATCTCTTCTTCTTCTTCTACCTACTTGTTATTTTTATGGCATCTCCTCCAAAGCATCTTTTAAAACCTAAATAAGTTTCAGATTATGCAAGAAAACTTATCAAATTTAAGTTAAGATTTATGTATATAATAAAAAAATTACCCTTCTCTTGAATCTATACACAGTCCCCGAGGTTGAGTAATGTTTTCAGTCAGCAACACTAAGCGATGTTCTCCATTCAGTGTTGAAACTTCTAGTGTTTTTAGTCTTGAGTCCACCCAATACAGATTACGCCCCACCCAGTCTACAGCAAGACCTTCAACCAGATCTAGACCACTATCGATTACCTGATCACATATAAGTAACAAAAGTAAGCTTTTATGTAGTTTAAATTCTGAAAACACAAAACCTCAAAGCTTCTTTTGTATAAACACTGACAAAAACAATGCATGAGAAGCAAATCTGTGATTAACATTTGTTTTCCCTTAAGCTAAGGACTTCAAATAATAAAAATTACAAATCATATAATTCTAATATTATGAAATAAACTATTATGGGTCAAACCAGGTTTAGTTTCTAAGTGTAAACACAAACATGTGGTTTATAATATTTTACAGTAAATTATCAGATGAAGTACAGACAATGACTATTGTTGTATTAGCTTTGAATTGGCCACAGTAAAGAACATTCATCTTTTTTTTTTTTTTTTAGATAGTCAAATTATATGCTTGAAAAAGTGCTACATGCAATGCCACTTACCGTGCCAACTTCAAAGAAAAAATTAAATATGTGATAAACTTAGTTAAATCTGCTTTATGGTCAAATTACAATTATTTTCAATGTTTCACAATTCAATCCACTTACCGGCACATTATAATTGCTAAATTGTTTCATAAAAGTCAAATATTTAAAATAGCTAATATCACTTTTTGTGACGACTATTTGTTTGTTTGAATTTATGTACAAAGCTACACAATGGGCTATCTGTGCTCTGCCCACCACGGATATCGAAACCTGGTTTCTAGTGTTGTAAGTCCGCAGACATACCACTGTGCCACTGGGGGGCTGTGACGACTAAACTCTATAAAGTTGAAAATATACAAATAAAAGAATCATTATATTATAAACTACCAGAAAGCTATTTGTAGTTATATTAACCAAGTCCTTGTACATATTCAATATTTTATTGAGAAAAGACAACTTCTTTCAAAGGTCAACAGACTACTAGTTGATTAGTTGGAAGTTTCAACATTAATTGTGCCATTTAGTGTTTCCATGTCAAATATCAAAAAATAATTTTAATGTCCAATACTAATTGGAATAAATTCAGCTAGTTTGGGTTGATTCATGTAGGTAGTGGTTATGAAAATCTTTATTTAATTGAAAATTTTGGATTATAGTTTTGCACACTTAGTCTGATTATTTCTGTCTTTCTGCTAAAATATGCCAGGGTGCTATCATTAAGCTAATATTTTATATAGTTCACTTCTCAACCTCTAATGAAATCAATTTATTAAAAATGTTACTTAGAGCAGATTTAAAGTTTATCTTTTAGTCAATAAAAATTTCAGACTTGTTATAAATGACCTGTTCTTATAGCATTCCGACTTCTGAATGTTTCTATATTCAAATGAAACCGTTTTTTTGTTTGTTTTTCCATTATAACCTTAATCCGAACTAGTCTGGGGTTGGCCAGCAATTTTTATAAGCAAATGATTTTCACACTTGAGTGGTTGTCCCAGATGGCAACCATATAAAGTGAGCATGTTCTGTGATGAAAATTCAAACTCACGACCCTCAGATTGTGAGGTAAGTGCTTGACCCACCAGGCCCAGTGAACCAAAGTGACTGTTATTAAGAACAAAAATTTTTTAAGCAACTCCCTAAAGTGAAATATAATTTGTACAGCATTACAGTTGTGTAATTAGCCTTATTAACTTCATTATTGTTACGTTTAATCATAAATCAAGTTGGACAAAACATGTTAATAACATTTGCACTAAAGCTCTCAGGCACCAGGAACCATGGATTACATCAGTTACTTCAAGCACCTGACCCATTATTATTTTATTGTGAAGAGACAACTTCTTTCAAAGGTCAACTAGTTCTTTAGTTGGAAGTTTCAACATAATTACTCTAATTGTTGTAATGAAAAATAAAATCACATCAACGTAACCTACTGCATTAAAATGTTAATTTCCATAAGATATGCTAAGTACAATGCAGTCAATATAAATAAGATGTATAAATACACTGTTGGTGCTTAATAAAATGGAAAACTGTGATGAATCTAAAGATTTTCTATAGCTACAAATATGCCTGGTAAACAAACAACTAACTATTTCTGGTTCCTCCCCCTTCTTCATGCGGTAGATTTTCTTTAGTGTCATATCTGACCAATACATGGTGCCAGATGTCATATCAGAGGCTGTAGACACAACATTTTCAACATTAACAGGTACCCGCTCAAAGTTTGTAGTGTTGAGGTTTGCCACCAGGATGGAACGTCGATTCGAAATAACCAGAAATGCATTAGTCCAGTCTTTAAAAAAAAAAAGAACTTAATTTAATATGTATCATGTTTAACATTATGTCAAAAATATGCAAAATTATTCTGTATGCATATCTTTCATTGTAACAGATGTCACAAACTTAAGCAACATTAAAACATTAGGACCTAAATTATTTGTAAAGTATCATAATAATTCATTCGTTCATTCTCCACAAATCCAAATAGTTCACTGAGCAGCTTTGTGATTAGAAACAAACAAACCAAACTTATTCAATGATGAGGAACGCTCTTTGAGACTAATAATGCTTGGAGACAGCTTGAATGGGTAAGGAAGAAATACTATAATATAAGTTTAACATAACAGCAAATGTACAATGTTTTGACAAAGTTTTGTCATCATCAGGTAAAGTAGTTTACACTAACACAGATATATATACAGTATGGAACAAAGAGGTCACATGACCGGATACTGTTGTAAG